ACTTTGGCACTTGGAGGAATGTGGGCAGCGTGACCCGTCTGTCACTACAGTACTGTGTGTTCAACAATGTTTTTGAATCAGGCACACACATCCCTCACCAGACAGCTGTCATACGCTCTGCTGGATACGCTGACCACGACTCTTGTACTGCCGCTGCCAGGTCGGACAATGTCTTCTTTGCCACCATCTCGCCATCAGTTTGCAGGCTTGCAAAGAATACCAGGTCATTGCAGTTCAAACATTGCAGTTCAAACAACTCAGCTGGCTGGCCGTGACTGTCACGGATGTCGATTTCCCCTGCTACAGTTCCAGTCTTTGAGCTGCGCTTGGCTTTTCGCTGCAGTGAATGTGTCCATTCACTGCAGTGCATTCACTGCAGCGAAAAGTTTCCCACTTTCCCATCAAAATTGTATGAATCGCGATGCCACTGGCGCTAGTCGTGATGGGTTTTTTCTTTCTGGTCTCCTTTGATCTTGCCATCACAACCTCGCAAACGAATGTGAGTTAGATATAGAGATCGGACTGGGTTTTACCTGTCAAAAGGTGCGTGGGAGATAAGCGACAATTGCGATGAAACGGACCAAGTAGATCTCTGATAAAACGTACTTGTACCCAGATAGGTAGCAGGAAAAAGTGTACTTAGTATGCAAGATACAGTAGAAAACCTGCCCTGACCGGACGCCACTGGGGCAGCGGGCACTGTGCTGATATGACAGGACTCCGCTTGATCCACCGGGGATGCAGATTCGACCCGCAGCTCGTTGGTGCATGAACAATTGCCCGGTCAATACAGGATTGCGCTTGGTACAGGGTCCGGGCAAACACAGGGTTCACTGTACGTTTGACCCCTACATACTCTCCGGCATGGATCAATACGCCTGTGCTCCGGAAAACGTAAGCAAGAGTATGATTGTATAACCTGAGTACGTACTACAGATGTGCTCGGTGAAATCTGACCCAAAGCGCAAAGCTGATGCCCTGGACCAGTTCCGATTACATCCATTGTATTTGTACATGTGTAAGTCCAGCCGCATGTGTGCCACTTCCACGGTGTCAGGGGCCGTGCAAGATGAGGGCTCCACATATGCACTCTGGGTCGTATTTCACCGAGCAGAACTGTAGGTGAGCTCAATTGTATGATGAACATGACCAAGTGTAGGGCACTGGGCTACAGGGCCAGAAGGGCACTGGTATGCCAGGCTTGCAGCCAGCCGGAAACGAAAGCGGCGGGTCAGACGGTACAAGAAAATCCGACATGCCCCCCCCCCCCCAACACACGTGCATCGGCACAGGAGGATGTGCGTACCTTGATGACGGTCGTGACATCTTGCCGTTTGACAAAGCGCGACTGCGCGAAGCGCCAGACCTACACAATGGAGAAACAGAAACAAGAACACCACGTACCCACAATGGATACAATGGTTGGTACATGCAAGCCTTGCTTGCTAGCTTTTAAACACATGCATGACGATGACAGCACGTCACACGGCGGAGGAGGGCGCACTGTATGACGATGACAGCACGTCACAAGGCGGAGGAGGGCGCACTGTATGCAAAACAGTGTTTCTGACTGCAAACGGTCGCAAGGCCGAGACTCTACCAAACGGTTTACGGTTGCAGTCAGGAACATTGTTTGCCATACAGTGTGTCCTCCACCTTGTGACATGCTGTCAACGTGCAAACATATTGGAAACAACTTGCAAGCAGCACCAAACAGTAGTCCCAGCAAGCACTATGACCATCACACACATAGAACTACTGTAGAAGTACAAATTTTTCGTTTGGAATTAACTTTCGCTATGTTCGCTAGGGGGCACGAAATAACTAAAGTTTGTACCAGACTAAAGTTTTTTTTTCCGAACGTTCGGGGTGACAGACGTCGACCAAAAACGAAATTTAGCACATAACAAACCTGCTGGTGGAGTCACCTAACGAAAGATTTCGTGAACGAAAATCGGTGCTTATACAGTGGAGCATTCAAGTCAAATTCCTCTTCCTGTGCAATAGCAGACAGGCGCGTGAAGCTGAAGTGCAACTAGAGTGAAACATGTCTAATGGGGTATTCACACGACCGGCACTTGTACGTTTTGCAGGGAGTGACATACGAGAAAAGTGACTGTGTGGATTCACACAGCTGCACTCGACGACAGGCACGTTTGCATTTTTGAATGCTTCACCGACCAGTAGCCATGGGTATTTCAAATTTTCAAAACACACATCCGATAATTATCATGCTCTAAAGAGCCGCGTAAAAAATCAAGTCTTGTTTCGCGCTTTTTGGTGTAATTGTACTTGTGCACGCCACGATTATCGTGAAAGTGGGCCCCCAGCTCGCTTTCACTTTTCAGCCACTTTCAGGCACTTTTCTCGTTCACAGGTAAAATACCATAGCAACTTTCCGGTGCACGTGGATTTGCCTGTCGTGTGAATACCCCATAAGGGCGCGTTTGAATTGTTACTCTTTGACTTTTCAAGGAGTTTCGTTTTTCTGAAGAGGTGGCCTTATTGGCCTCTTCAGAAAAACGAAGCTCCTCGAAACTCATCCGAAGGGAAGGTGGATTAGTTTCGAAGAGTTTGGAATAGCTACGTCACATAGTACGTGGAGATGGTCGATCTGATCGGACGTCATCATCGCCATGACAATTCCACTGAAAAACTCTAAAGTGATAGAAGCCGTTCTAATGGGACACTTCAACCAATCTCTTTATAAAATTTGTTTGAACAGTTGATGAAGACAATTCGAACGCGCCCTCAGACGCCCGTCAAGGGACCTTCAAAACGTGGTCTCTGTTACCAGGTGGTCTCCTTATCCAGGGTCATTTGACTGGAAATAGCATCCGTTGGTCCTGGTTTCAGTGGTCTTTTAGGACAGGTGGTCGCCTTATCCAAGTGGTCTCCTTATCCGAGTGGTCGCCTTATCCGAGTGGTCGCCTTATCCGAGTGGTCGCCTTATCCGAGTGGTCGCCTTATCCGAGTGGTCGCCTTGACAGGCTTTACTGTAAATGAATAGAGAGTGTTGTTGGCTAGGTAGAAGCTGCAGACCCTGTGATTTGAAAATAGGTGGCGAGTGATCTATCGCTCTCCTCGCCTGTGTTAGGCGAGCTGTAGGAGAGTGATCCAAAAATTCTCACTCCAACAACACAGCACATTATTGATATCATTTTTTTAGAGAAAAAATTCTGGATGCTTTCTGAATTTCCACCATTGTCTTGAAAGATGACAGCGGTTGGCCGTGAACTGCCATCAAAATATGCAGTGTGGAAGAGCTTTTCGTATGCGTCCTCCGCTTGGACTAGAATAGCTGTGTGGATGCGTGGATGCTGAGGCGCTTGTGTTGCCTTGCTCCCTGATGCAGACGTCGACGATGATTTGTCGGTGTCACCCAATAGCTTCGCATGGCTCACTCCGATGCTATGCGCCTACATGACAACAAGCGAAGAAAACAAGGAGAATGGTCGCGAGTCCGATCGACTTTACTTTCGACATTGAATTGACCACTTACCTGTCCAGACAAAATTTAATGTCGAGTGACAGCGTGCTTCGTCACGTAGTCCGATCCCTCCACAAACCTCAACGCATCGACCTTCGCTTGACCTCTCAGCCATAGAGTCGCTCCGGATAACGTCAGAATACTTCGCACACGACTTGCACCACACTTTCACGACCAGCTCTTTACCTTCCTTCTTCACCAAGTTGAAGCCTATGTCCTCATCTACTTTCCAGCTGGGGAAAGTGGACAACTGCACACTGTTCCCTTTCGACATTTCTACTGCTAGCAGCAGCAGGAGATCACCAGCAAGGGATCATGTCGCAAGGAAAGAAAACAACTGGTATGATCAACTCCAGTTGACCAATTGGCCTTTTATTCTAAGAGTAAGAGGACAAAAGCGCCATTTGGGTGCATTTACTTGCACCGCATGCACTAGCAGAACTACCAGAACTACTAGTCTATGTCAGACTGCGGTCTATCTTGCTACTCGGACCCGCCAGGCGCTAGTTCAGAGGGTTGTACGGACCCCTGCGCTGCATGCAGGGGTCCGTAAAACCCGTTGAACTGGAGTGTTTCATGAGTGGTGGTAGATCTACGCAGCACATCTCTGACTAGTTCAAGCCGCAATCATTCATCCAGACGTGTGAAATGCCCCGAGGTCATGCCAGGCTAGCTGGGCGCGCCAGTGCAGTGCCTGTGTCACACTCACAGTGTACGTGCAGTGAACTTGCCTACTCAGTACTGTGCATGTCACTACACAGTCATGACTAACTCACTGTCTAGTCTGTTTCATAACAGCGCGAGCGGGCACAGTTCCGGCCTGCGCACGGATCGATGAGTGCACTTGACACCATACACTCGTACTAGTCATAGTACAGTAGTAGTTGCGCTGCACTCCGAAAAGCGTACATGCAGCCAAAAATAGTTTCAGGCGCGCGACAAAAAGTGCACCTTCCAAGAAAATAAGGCGCGCGATGGCGCGCGAGAGCGATCGCTCGCCTCAAATCACAGGGTCTGAAGCTGGTACAGTTAGTTCACAGGACTTAACTCACCGTGTAATCACGCGCTTTGCAGAGAATCTCAGCCGCAATGCCACTATGTGCGCTGCAAGTACCTTGCGGGTACAGCAGCTCGCTGCTCGGAATAATGCCCAACACACACACACACATGCGCACGCACACACACACACGCACACACACACACACGCACACAGCATGGAAGCACACGGGGTCAATGGTGTCATAAGTGCTGCTGCAAACTTGGGCCGCGGGGAGGACTACGTCAGCAAGTGGCCACCAGATGGCAGTAGAGGCTACGTAAAAGATGTCATCCTACATGCTTTATATCGGGTGGCAAAGCAGAGTTTGCGATGCTACTCCATACAAACACATCGCACATCATGAAATCATGACATCATCGCACATGCTTTGTATGGGGTGCCAACGCGGCAATTGTATTGCCACTCCACATTCAAACACCTCTGCGTTGCTCTGTCTCCGTGTCTGTCTGT